TATCCGTGGAAAACAAGGCAAAATCGGTGTGTAAAAAGCACCGGTTTTGAGGAGACATTCAGACCTTTTCGTTCTCGTGAAGAATCTTTTGAGCTTGAGCAGCACGTACACGTATAATGCGGAGATTCTTGATTAGTCAAGCCAAAACCTGTTTGGACCAGAGTCGTCGTCAACATCACAAAACCCGACGAATTCTATCTCTTCTTCCATCTTTATCTCCTGTTCCTGTTTCTCTGTCTTCTCGTTTCTTGTCTTCTACTTCGGATATGTCTACTTCTGATTCAACTTCCTCTCTTCCCGTTACTCTTGATTCCATCAATCCCAAGGTGGGTTTTTTCCAAAGTCGATAGCTTTTTGATTTTTCGAATTGTGGGTTTCTGTGGTTTTCTTCTCTCGATTGATTTGGATTTGTTTCAAAGTTTCAAACTTTAGTGTAATTTCTGATTCAACGAGACGAAAGGGTTTTTGCTTTGTGTTTCCCAATGATGATAACCGACAAATTTCTTCGTTTCTCTGTACTTGATTTTGGGGTACTAACCGAAACTAGAACTTGGTTTTTGTCTGGTGACAGGTTCTGAAATGTGAGTATGCGGTTCGTGGAGAAATTGTCAACATTGCTCAGGTTAGAGATACGGTTTTGCTTTGTTTAGTGAAATCAAGAACGAAATCTGTAAAATTATTTGTGTGTTATTGATTTCTGTTTTGCCTACTTGCTTTTCCATCTTGCAGAAGTTACAAGAAGACTTGAAGTCTAATAAGGATGCTTATCCCTTCGACGAGGTATAATCTCCTTCCTTCTTTATCGGCAGTAGTCATGTTCTCTTTTGTGTATTCTTTGAGAATCTTGATCTGCTTTTTTGGTATGAGTTTCTTAGAGTGGATTGGTGTTACGTGTTTTCAAGCTCTTTATAATTCCCATCAAGAAAGAAACTTGAGAAGTATTCACCGGTTTTTGCAGATAATCTATTGCAATATTGGGAATCCTCAATCTCTTGGTCAGCTACCTATAAAGTTCTTCCGAGAGGTAAGCGAGAGCGTTTTTTGGTGCTAGTTTGTTTGCCATAAAAGCCCCAAAGGTATAACTTGTGTCATCTATATGTCTCAGGTTCTTGCGTTGTGTGATCACACAAGCCTTTTGGACGAGTCTGAAACACATGGTTTGTTCAGGTATATGACGTGATTTTCTGAGGTTCTTCTCGCTATTTTTCAGTTTTAAGACATGTACATGACGGTTTAAGATCGCTTCTCATGTTTATTTAAACCATGGAATCAGTACTGATTCTATTGACCGAGCATGGAAGATTTTGGACCAAATTCCCGGAAGAGCAACTGGTGCTTACAGTCACAGCCAGGTTTGTCATGAGGATCTAGTTAAAAGTCCTAAACCCGATGTTTGAATGACTTTTGTTGCTGATGTATTCCTTTTTTCTTTTGCCTCAGGGTATCAAAGGATTACGTGATACAATTGCAGCTGGAATCGAAGCCCGTGATGGTTTCCCTGCTGATCCAAATGATATTTTCTTGACCGATGGTGCAAGTCCAGCGGTAACAGTCGAAACCAAAACATTTTCATAGAATTAGTAGTGCAAGTCCTTTTAAAGTGTTCATGCTAAGTGAATTTTGTTCCCCTTCATTCTATAGGTTCACATGATGATGCAACTTCTCTTAAGCTCAGAGAAAGATGGTATTCTCTGCCCTATTCCTCAGTATCCGTTGTACTCTGCTTCAATTGCCCTCCATGGTGGATCTCTGGTATGTTCATTTAATCATTACGCAATAATATTGCTTTATGGGACGGTTTTTCCATATGTTGATTGTCGTTTTTCTGCTTAGGTTCCGTACTATCTTGATGAAGCAACAGGATGGGGACTGGAAATATCTGACCTTAAGAAGCAACTGGAGGAAGCTAGGTCTAAGGGAATTACTGTAAGAGCCTTGGTTGTCATAAACCCCGGTAACCCAACTGGGCAGGTACGAACAGATTTTCAAGTCTAGGCTAATAAATATTAGCGCATGCGATGCACAATGTTAACGTTTTGCGTTCTTATTCTGGTTAAGGTTCTTGCGGAAGAAAACCAGCGTGACATTGTTAAATTCTGCAAGGAAGAGGGTTTAGTTCTTTTAGCTGACGAGGTCTACCAAGAAAATGTTTACGTCCCTGACAAAAAGTTCCATTCTTTCAAAAAAGTAGCTCGGGCTTTGGAATATGGCGAAAAGGATATTGCTTTAGTCTCGTTCCAATCAGTCTCCAAAGGTAAAAGAACAACCTTTTGTCTATTGATAAGCTTCTGATGACTGTGGAATGCTTGTTATCTCAAAAGTGGGGGTCTTCTTTTTACGTTTACAGGTTACTACGGAGAATGTGGAAAGAGAGGAGGTTACATGGAAGTCACTGGATTCTCTCCCGATGTGAGAGAACAGATATATAAAGTGGCTTCTGTGAATCTTTGTTCTAACATCTCTGGTCAAATCCTTGCTAGCCTTGTCATGAGCCCACCCAAGGTAACACCTCCAATTCTCTCTAACCGGTCAAATTTTCGCTAAGTTCTTGCAACTGAACAATGACTAATCAGTCTTTCATGTATGATCAGCCTGGCGATGACTCATATGACTCATACATGGCAGAAAGAGATGGAATTCTCTCGTCAATGGCAAAACGTGCAAAGGTTAGTCGAAGATTGCATTAACCCTTGAAAGACAATTATCCAGTCTCTTGTATAATGTTCATAAGCTTGACATTGAATGTGCAGACTCTTGAAGACGCTCTAAACAGCTTAGAAGGCGTTACATGTAACAGAGCCGAAGGAGCGATGTATCTCTTCCCGAGAATTAACCTTCCTCAAAAAGCGATTGAAGCTGCAGAGGCCGCAAAGACAGCACCAGATGCATTCTACTGCAAACGCCTTCTCAACGCCACTGGAGTAGTTGTAGTCCCTGGTTCTGGCTTTGGACAGGTAAAAAAAGAACCAAATCTTCACAAAATGAAAAAGGGCCAAACTTGAATCTAATTGTGTTTTTGATTCACTGTGGTTTAGGTTCCTGGAACATGGCACTTCAGGTGCACAATACTTCCGCAAGAAGACAGGATTCCGGCGATAGTGAATCGTCTCACAGAGTTCCACAAGAGCTTTATGGACGAGTTCCGCGACTAAAGCCTGACCCTGAAGATGATGAGCTCAAAGACCTTTTGACTTGAGAGATCTTTAAACTAAGTGTGATCAGTTTGAGTAATTAAAAACAAAATCTGTTTGTTTAACCAAGCAAATTGTGATTTAGCAACCAGCTTTGCGGTTAAATAGAAATGAGCATGGTATAAATATATTTATAATCCAATTTAGTTTTGGAGTATTTGTACTACATGGACAAGAATGATAAGAAATATATTGAAATTATTCGTCTCATTTTTTTCAAATGAA